ATACGCTCGAAGTTTTGCCGGGGCCGCGCCCGCAAACAGGCTTGAGGCCCCGCCCGGGCCGAGCACAGACGCCGCGCAAGGCGCTGGTAACGCGCAGGCGGCTGAAAGGACAAAAACGGCCAGGCTCGCTAGCCCGCTCGGGATCCCGCTCGGGCCAAGCACGGATGCCACGCGAAGCACCGCTCGGGAGTTCCGGGGCGAGCGCGGATGCCACGCAAAGGCCTCAGACCCTCTTGCGGAAGCCATACAGTTAGCACACGCCAGACCCTCTTGCGCCTCGTTTGGCCGTGTCAGCCAGGCCTCTTTGCATCACGCCTGCCAACCCGCTTCTCTACTGCAATCTTGACAATTGAATTTGGCTTTGGGATTCACAAACAACGGGCCCCTATAAAAGCCTGGCAACTCCACCCCTGAAGCAATGCTTGTTGCGACTTGAAAGGACGCCCGTAGCAAACATCAACGACATCATCAAGAAGCTCGCGTTGTCCGAGTGTTGCATCATGTTGCGTCCAAACGCAAACGCATTAATTATCGCAGCGGACAGTTGGGCCCGTGTAAAGGCTTTACCCGCAAGAAAAAGACAAGTCCATCATCCTGAAGAAGCACCGTCCTCTGATTTTACTCTTCAAAGCCCACAAATACGCTCGAAGTTTTGCCGGGGCCGCGCCTGCAAACAGGCTTGGGATCCCGCTCGGGCCGAGCACAGATGCCGCACAAAGGCGCTGGTAAGGACCAAAGCAACCACGCTCGGGATCCCGCTCGGGCCAAACCCGTGCCAAGGCGCAGATAAGGACCAACACCGTCACGCTCGGGAGTCCACTCGGGGCCAGCTATGGATGCAACGCGCAGGCGCCTGCAAGGACCAAAGCGGCCAGGCTCGCCTGCCCGCTCGGGACCCCGCTCGGCGCGAGCACGGGTGCCACGCAAGGAAAAAGCAAAGGCAAGCGAAGCCACGCTCGGGATCCCGCTCGGGATGCCGCTCGGGGCTGCCACGCAAAGGCGTCACTCTTGCGGAAGCCATACAGTTAGCACACGCCAGACCCTCTTGCGCCTTGTTTGGCCGTGTCAGCCAGGGCTCTTTGCATCACGCATGCCAACCCGCTTCTCTACTGCAATAGCTGTCTTGACAATTGAATTTGGCTTTGGGATTCACAAACAACGGGCCCCTATAAAAGCCTGCCAACTCCACCCCTGAAGCAATGCTCTTGCGACTTGAAGGGACGCCCCGTAGCACACATCAACGACATCATCAAGAAGCTCGCGTTGTCCGAGTGTTGCATCATGTTGCATCCAAACGCAAACGCATTATCGCAGCGGACAGTTGTGCCCGTGTAAAAGCTTTACCCGCAAGAAAAAGACGAAGCACCGTGCTCTGATTTTACTCTTCAAAGCCCACAAATACGCTCGAAGTTTTGCCGGGGCCGCGCCCGCAAACAGGCTTGGGATCCCGCTCGGGCCGCGCACAGATGCCGCGCAAAGGCGCTGGTAAGGACCAAAGCAACCACGCTCGGGATCCCGCTCGGGCCAAACCCGTGCCAAGGCGCAGATAAGGACCAACACCGTCACGCTCGAGAGTTTAATGCAACGCGCAGGCGCCTGCAAGGACCAAAGCGGCCAGGCTCGCTAGCCCGCTCGGGCTTGCAAAGGCAAGCGAAGCCACGCTCGGGATCCCGCTCGGGATCCCGCTCGGGGCGCACGCAAAGGCGTCACTCTTGCGGAAGCCATACAGTTAGCACACGCCAGACCCTCTTGCACCTCGCTTGGCCGTGTCAGCCAGGACCCTTCACGCTTGCCAGCGCGCTTCTCCTACAATATTTGCCGTTTCCTGCAATGGCGTCTTGATAATTGAATTTGGCTTGGGGATTCACAAACAACGAGCCCCTAAAAGCCTGGCAACTGCACCCCTAAAGCCTGCTTCTCCACCGCTAAAGCAATGCCTCCTGCGACTTGAAAGCGCGCCCGTAGTAAAACGACTGACATTATGAAGAAGCTTGCTTCGTCCGAGTGTTGCATCATGTTGCGCGCAATCGCAAACGCATTACCGTCCCGAACTCAAGCTGGGCTAGGACACAGTGTGGAAGCTCTACCCGCGAGAAAAGACAAGTCCATCATCCTGAAAAAAACACCGTGCTCTGGTTTTACTCTTGAAAGCCCACAAACACGCTCGAAGTTTTGCCGCGCAGAGGGGCTTGGGATCCTGCTCGGGCCGAGCACAGACGCTGCGCAAAGGCGCTGGTGAGGACCAAAAGCAGACACAGTCGGGATCCCGCTCGGGCCAAACACGTGCGCCGCGCCAAGGCGCAGATAAGGACCACTCGGGCCAACTACTATGGATGCAACTCGAAAGGACCAAAACGGCCAGGCTCGCTAGCCCGCTCGGGGTCCCACTCGGGGCGAGCACGGGTGCCACGCAAAGGCGTCAAACCCTCTTGCCGAAGCATACAGTTAGCACACGCCAGACCCGCTTGCGCCTCCTTTGGCCGTGTCAGCCAGGAGTGTTCGCATCACGCTTGCCAACGCGCTTCTCCTACAGTTTTTTTGCCAAGCAGACTCGCTCGGGATCCCGCTCGGGCCAAGCGCATCAGTCCTGAAAGATCCGCTACCTCGCCACCACCTTGCGACAGCGAGAAGAATCGCCACGCTCGGGAGTCCACTCGGGATGCAACGCGCAGGCGGCTGAAAGGACCAAAACGGCCAGGCTCGCTAGCCAGCTCGGGATCCCGCTCGGGCCGGCTACGGATGCCACGCGAAGGGGCCTTGGCGGGCAAACTTAAACTTTCAGGATCCCGCTCGGGAGAAACGCGGATGCCACGCACAGGCATGTGCGAACGCAAGCGCAAACGCACTTGGGCTTCCGCTCAGGCTAAGCAAGCTTCAAGAATCCGCTCAGGCTGAACTTGTAAGGCCCAACATACGGCCAAACCTCTGACTTACAGTTAGCACACGCCAGACCCTAGCGCCTTCTCAGCTGGTGTCAGCCAGGACTCTTCGGATCATCACGCTTGCCAATGCGCTCCTCCTAACTACAGTCTTTGCCCTTCACTGAAATGGCAACGCAGCAGTTTTAGTGCGTGGCATGCACCCCCATTATTCGGCGAAGGGCGCGCTTCTCCCTTAGGTGCATCCATCGGCGCAACTGCGGCACCCCCCCCCCAGGATGTTTCGAAGTAATGATGATTCTGGCATGGCAACCTGCAACAGCACCCTACGCAACTCTGCAGCACCCTGCGCAGCTCTGAGTCTCGTCCTGCCTTCCTTCCTTCCTTCCTTCCTTCCTTCCTTCCTTCCTTCCTTCCTTCCTTCCTTCCTTCCTTCCTTTGCTTCCTTTGCTTCCTTTGCTTCCTTTGTTTCTTTTGCTTCCTTTGCTTCCTTTGCTTCCTTTGCTTCCTTTGCGTCTCCTTTGCTTCCTTTGCTTCCTTTGCTTCCTTTGCTTCCTTTGCTTCCCTTGCTTCCCTTGCTTCCCTTGCTTCCCTTGCTTCCTTTGCTTCCCTTGCTTCCCTTGCTTCCCTTGCTTCCCTTGCTTCCCTTGCTTCCCTTCCGCTTCCCTTGCTTCCCTTGCTTCCCTTGCTTCCTTGCTTCCTTGCTTCCTTGCTTCCTTGCTTCCTTGCTTCCTTGCTTCCTTGCTTCCTTGCTTCCTTGCTTCCTTGCTTCCTTGCTTCCTTGCTTCCTTGCTTCCTTGCTTCCTTGCTTCCTTGCTTCCTTGCTTCTTCTTGCTTCCTTGCTTCCTTGCTTCCTTGCTTCCTTGCTTCCTTGCTTCCTTGCTTCCTTGCTTCCTTGCTTCCTTGCTTCCTTGCTTCCTTGCTTCCTTGCTTCCTTGCTTCCTTGCTTCCTTGCTTCCTTGCTTCCTTGCTTCCTTGCTTCCTTCCTTGCTTCCTTGCTTCCTTGCTTCCTTGCTTCCTTGCTTCCTTGCTTCCTTGCTTCCTTGCTTCCTTGCTTCCTTCCTTCCTTCCTTCCTTCCTTCCTTCCTTCCTTCCTTCCTTCCTTCCTTTCCTTTGCTTCCTTTGCTTCCTTCGCTTCCGTGCTTCCGTGCTTCCTTCCGTCCTTCCTTCCAATGCCCATGTAAAGCTATTTTGATGCCAAGCCTTATTTCAAAGACCTTGAACAATCCGACTGCCAGACTAGTTGGAGTGCTAACTGTTGGGCCTCAACCACGGCTTGGGACAAAAATGCTGCGCAAGCGCCCAAACAGTTAGCACTCAACGTTGGGATGCCGTGTGCTAACTGATTGATACCCACTATAACAAAATAAATACATAAATAGATAAATGAAAATATTCAACTAAGCAATTAAATATCTAAATAACTAAATATGTAGCTAGATACATAAATAAGTAAGTAAATAAATAACATAATAGAAACACAAAACACAATACATAAACAGCACATAAATAAATACATGCATATATATATATATACACATTATACATCGAATCGAACACGATGCAGGGGGAGCACCAAAGGTTCCGAAGGAACTTCTGATGGGGGTTCTGATCGAAGGCGTCTGAGAACCATCTTTGGGGGATGGGCCGTGATGATTTTCGGATTTGAACAAGTTGCTGAGTTTAAACATCACTGGTCTCGTTTGGAGAGTTTTTAGGAGCGCTATCATGGGTGGTTTCAAAATTTGCCCTCCTGCAGACTAACACGGAAGCCAACAAGCTGTTGGGAATTGAACACCCTTTTTGGGTTCCACGTCAATTTGTAGGGGAATATGTGGCGATTTACTCAGGTAGTTTCAATCACCTGGGGTCGCCTGGGGATCCGTTTAAGTGGTTCTTTTGAAGACTACTTTCCTGGACAACTGCCTGGAACCCCGTCCTACGCAAACCACTTTCTTCCCTTTCCTTTTCCTGTGTCTTCCTCGACTTCCTCTTCTTCTTCATCTTCTTCATCTTTTTCTGCTTCTTCTTCTTTTTTGTTTCTGTTTTGCCTTTCTACTTCTTTTATTTTCATTTGAACTTGTTTCACTTATCTTGTGTCTCTTAAAAAGCATTCTCCAGGCGGTGCTCCTAGACCGCGGGGAGGGCAAGCAAGCGCAGTACCAGGCCGGGCCCGAAATCTCTGAGGGCCCAAAATCGATTTCTATGATTTTTTGCTGGGGTCCTAATTCCAGCCAAGTTTTATCAGCTTCCCTCTGATTGGTAGTTTGGATTGTTGCTTTGGTGGTTAAGGGGTGGTTGTCCATTTGCCAAATCCCCAAGCCACCAATCCCAACCACCAATTGCGCCACCTGATTATAGTCGGTGGTTCTATTGCGTCAGGTAGCCCCCAATTGGTGGGTTGGATTGGAGGGAACTGGGAATTTGACCGAGTTTCCCGTTTTTGTAGAAGGCAAATGGGAAACCACCATGAACCTTCAAACCACCAATCCAAACCACCAATTATATAGGCTATTTCATGTGTCCCCGAAGGGCCTCCCCAGGGAGGGCCTCCCCAGATTTGGTTTTCTTGCATGTTTAATGTTGGTTCAGGTGTTCTGTGTTTTTCATGATGTGTGAGCGTTGTTGGGGGTACTTTGCTCGAATCTAGCTGCAATTGCTCAACTCCGCCAAGTGCAAAGGTAACGGCAAAGGTGGGGCCCGCAAATCAGGAGCGAGAAGCCAAACCTGCTGCGATTCCCAAGTGAGGTGGTTTAGATCACCAGTGTAATGTTGAGGGCAGCCCAGTCTCCCAAATCAAGCAAGAATTTCGGAGGGGTTCCAAAATGTAAGAAAATACGACTGTTTGCTAGCAGGGCCTATTAAAGCTTATTAAGCCTTAATTAGCTTTAATAAGGCTTAATAAGGCTTAATAAGGCGTAATAGGGCTTAATAAGGCTTAATAAGGCTTAATAAGGCTTAATAAGGCTTAATATGGCTTAATGTGGTGGGGAGGCCCCCCCCAAAAAACCTGCACAGGGACACGCTTTTGGGCCCCCCTTTTCCCTTCCTCCCCCTTCCCCGTCCCCTCCCTCCCCTCCCCTACCACCCCTTTTACTTCTCAAAAAGAAACGATGTTTTGGTCCCTTTTCGAAGTATGGTACTTTGACTAGAATCCTGGGGCATGTGTTCTAGGCTGGATGTTTTTCGAGATGGCGGATTTGAAGGATTGTTGAAAATAAGGGAACATGTCCGTTTTGAGCATTCTCATCCAAATAACAAATTATTAAGCGTTATTAAGCCTTATTAAGCCTTAATAAGCCTTAATAAGGCTTAATAAGGCTTAATAAGGCTTAATAAGGCTTAATAAGGCTTAACAAGGCTTAATGTTGGACTCGGTCATAATTCCTCCAATCTGGGGAGGCCCCTCTTGGGGAGGCCCTTGGGGGACACATGACTATTATGGTTTGCAGTGGGGGTTTGGGGATTTGAACCCCTTGTTGTTCTTGTAGATGGGTAAATGGGGACCACCATTAACCTTTAAACCACCAATCCAAACCCACCAATTGGAGCAAACTGACTACCGCTTCAATAGGCATATAGAGAAGTACACGCAAACGATGAATGATATCAAGCATCCCAGGGTTGTCTCCAAATAGGGCACCCCTGGTTGAAATTTGTGAATGTGGCTCCGTACTTGAATGGTCTTTTTACAACTATTGAGCCAACACCCCAGCCAATACCGCAATATCTTTCCAAATGCATTTTTCCCGGAAATGATTGTATAGTTTTCGTCCAGGGACAATATGAAGCGGATCTGAGCCAATTCAGTATTGCTCGAGGTTGGGCGAGGTTGGGCGAACACTGTTTCAACCCTTTTGTGTTGGGGGCGTTTTTTTTTTTCTTCTTTCTTTTTTTTTTCTCCAACAACAACAAACACACACACACATACACACACCCAAAAGGAGGGTGTTTGAAGAATTGGTTTTGAGACGTATGAGTTTTTTCAGGGGCTATCGCCGATTGCGAGGTAACGGTTCCCCTTGCGGCAGGACTGGCTGGAGGGTCCGGACTACCAGGGCAAGAGCGAGGAGGACATCAGGAACTGGACGCTGCAGGACCTAGGCGGGATTCTCGCAAAATCGCGGAAGTGCTTGAAGGGAGGCAAGTGGAGGGAAGGGAAGGGAAGGGGAGGGGGAGGGGAGGGGAGGGAAGGGAAGGGAGTTGGAGGTTGTTCTTTGAGACTGCTTCATTGGACGAAATGCGTGGAAAAGCAGCTTGAATGTGACCCGCAACAGTGGCAAGAGGCCAGCCCTAGTCGTTTCTTTTGCCAGTACGGTTGGTTAAATGACCAAACCAAAATGTCTTTATGGTGGTTTCCCTATGTTGAGACATGCCCAGAAGGCTCGCAAAAATGGCGTGTCTTCGTGTGTGAGCGCCAGGTGTTGGATCTGGATAGGCGCTTGCTGGCTCCAGTGATCTGCAATCTACCTGTTGGAACATGGCATGCCCCCTGCCTGACTACTTCTGGGAGTGTCCCACTTTAGGGGGCACCCTTCGTTTTTTTTTTTTGGGGGGGGGGAAGTTGCTAATCTTGGGGTTGACCTGGTCCCGGATGGACAACATCTGCTTCCTGATGGCTCCCTGCAAGAGAAGCAGCATTCGGAGCTGGGGTGCAACCCGTTTTCGGACAGCACCCAGTGGTTGCCGTGAGAAAACGCAGGGCAAACAACTGCACGGAGTATGAACACGTTATATGTCATGACTTGGGTTACTACCCCCTCTTTCCAACAATCATCGGAGTGGACAGAGGTTGGTTCCATGATTGTTGGCAGGAGGGTAAGAACGCATCCACTTGCCGGAACACCGATCGGTTTTTTGGCTTGGATTTTTAATGGGTGGTTGCCGAAGACGCGAGCGAGCTTACGTCAACGAGCTCGCCCATGAAGGTCCTTTTCTCGGAATTTCCGCAGAAATGAACTGGAAGTCCTCACAAGAAATGCTGGGTGGTAGGTGGGGAATTCCTCGGATGAGGATGGCCCTGTGGACTCCAGCCGAAGTTTGCGTCCGCGTTTACCCTTGATTAGCAACGCCCAGAGTCAGTCAGGTTCTCCTTCAAGAAAGGCATGCCCACAACAAGGACGCCCTGATCAATACCTCAAGAAGGGTTCTCATCTCGCGGTTTCTTCGAGTCAACAGCTCCGAAAAACAAAGGCATGGCCCTTGCTACCATCTACTCCTGATTCTGGGGATGACATGGGCACAGAAGCCCCGGAAGTCCAGGACACACAGCCTGGCTCACTGTGGCTCACATATCAGTTAAGCCCTGCGCAACTTTTGTGCAGGTGTCCTTTTTGGTTGTTTTGCCAGAAAAAAATAGATGGCCCTGGTTTACCTGGTGGTTTAATCATCTACCAGGGCCATCTATGTCCCCTAAAAGGACACCTATGTGAACAATGGCACTTAAGTTGCAGTTTCTGCACGGCTTGGGGCAGTGAGATCTCAGCACAAAGGCCCCAGGGTTCAACCCCCATGAAAAGAAAGGTCGACCCAATTTGGATGATGACGATCCTGAAGGGTAAACAATGGTGGTGAAATATGAGCCCCCATTGTTTTCATGGGTGGTTTTGAATTCCAGGGAAGGCTTTTGGGTGGGTAACTCCCCATTTTGGGATCCCCGAACCTCTCGTTCCTTGGAGGTGCTCTCTGCACCCACCGAACAAAGATGAGGGCTACCCTAAGGATTTTCGGGGGCGCAAAAGCTGACAGGGCGCCCTGAGAAATCTAAACATCACTCCAGGGCGCTGACTTCAAATTGGCAACAAGGTGATGTTTGACGGCCACAGGGGTAAATATGGGGCTGTTTTTTTTGGTAAGGGGACCTCCAAAGTGGTGGTTTTCCTCTTGGTTTCCCTTCAAAACTACGTACAAAATAGAGTGAGCCTCAAAACAAGGCAGACCCATATAGCGACATCTTCATGTTTGTCACAACGGTTTTCAGGACAGCAGAAAGAGATAGAAAGAGCTCTGTCCCTGGGCTGGGCTTTTAATGTTCCCTGGATCCCCTTACCTAACTTGGGTAACTGGGTGGGTCTTTGACCATGGTTACAATCTACTGCCGAAGTTGCTTGAACATCCAAGTCTTGATCAATGGGTTGTTGAACTGATAGGTGCAAGTGCCAACCTGACACGGGTTTAGGCACTGGGGCGACAACCCCTATGGGTTCCCCGTCCCATCCGCATCGCAGGTCAAGTCAAGGACCTGATCCAGCGGAGCATCATCCAACAGCTGCAGTGAGCGAGTTGCGGCTGAGCGTTTCCTCGCTGAGTCGGAGCGCGCTCTGCGCGAAATGCGCCGCGAAAGACCCCCCGAGCCTGGGCCAAAAGCTCCGCGCCCAGACCTGCGACCGCGGGAGCTTTGGCAACCTGTTGGAAGCTGCCAAAGGTGATGTGTGTGACGTGGCAGGAAAAAAAAAACGCGGATGGGTTCGACCTGCCCGAGCTTCCCGTGAACGTGCCATGGTGGAAGAAGCCATTTGCTTCACTTCGGGGTTGGCGGTGATGGCTAGGCTTCATACTTCCGAACTTGTCAAGAAGTTTGCCCACAGTATGAACCTGACACCTCTGTCTTTCCCCTTGCAATCATAACAGCCGCTTTGACTCAAAGCTTGTGGGTCGATCCCAAGAACCAACTCATGTTTTCCACGCAATCATTAAACATGTATTTGTTGACCCGGAGCATTCACTCAGGTTTCCTTTGTCATTCTTGATATTTCATGTTGTTGTGTTCAGCTCGGGACTCGGGCTGCCCTTCTTGGATGAAGGCCCACATAGGAAGTGGTGAATATCCCTATTTCATAAGTCCCCATTTAGCGGGATTCCCCTTACATGTAACCCATGTAGGTGACTTATGCACTGGGTATATGAACCACTTACTACATGGGTGCGTGTGTTTGAGGGTACCCATTTGTGCGTGTGTTTGAGGGTACCCATTTTTAGCTTGGTTTAAAGGGACTCAAACGGACAGCCTCCATTTTTTGGGGGTCCCATCTTGCAACATACACGCACGGGGCGCATGAGAACTCTGCGCCCAGGTATTCCGTGAACCTCACCTGGACCGCTCCGGGCTACGACGGGGGCGCCGCCATCGCCGGGACCCCGGGCGTTATGAAGAGGCACTGGCCTTGGACTGAGCATCTCAATGTTGACCCCATACTTTTCTTCAACCGCAGTTACTGGGGTTGAGAATATGCCCCACAGTGATTAATAGGGGGGTGTCCCTGGTGAAAAGGGTCACTTTTGTTTCGTGATCCTTGACTTAGTGGCGATATATTTATATATATATATATATATATATATATGGACCCCCCCCCCCAGTAAACCAAGGTGTTGAGGTACCTGTATATATGTATATATGTTTATATAGATATATGTATAGTTATGTATATGCGTCTATCAAGACCGTCACACCGAAGGTCTCCTACTTGGTCACAGCGGAAGCGGCGGAAGCCGCCGCGTCCGCTTGGGAGGTGACGGACGCCACCGAGGCGTGGGTGTTCGTTTCGATTTCAAGCTTCGCGAACTGCAGTCCACGATCAAACGTATTGTTTCTGGTTGGCGGCAAGACTGAGGTTCAGTGTGTGAAGGAATGAAGAAAGCACCATGACTACACAGCATGTGATCCACAATCAAAGCCGAATCCCAGCCATCAATGGGACCATTTTTGAAGCCAGGTTTTGAGTATGACTCAATTAGGGATGTATCAAACCGCGGGAACCCAAGAAATGGTGCTGCCCCTTTGGCGTCCCTTCAAGCCAACCAACAAGAGGGTACCCTGAAAAAGCCGAAGGCTTGCGCATTTTCTGCGCATTTTCTGCGGGAGAGAACGGGGAATCCAAAGTGCAGAGCAAGGAAAATGTGTTTGATCAAAGGCCCAGGTGAGCAGAGCTTCGAAGCATCTTTACCACAGATTTCTATACCTGCCGGAAACGCCCCCTGGCAATAGACCTGACTTCCCCCAAAACCACCACCTAAGGTTTGAAACTGCGCCCGGCATGCAGCTTTGGAGCCACTCCACTTGAGACAATCAGAACCCTGCTACAAGAAGGCTAGAGGCAGTCCCCGGAAATCGGTTCGCGGATATCGACACCCAACATGTCCACCAGAAGGGGGTGGAGCCCCTGGGTTTCCCTGTGATTTGAGTCGCAGCTGGGATGTGTGATTTTTTGTTTTCCGCAGAAGAACATGCATATCAAGTACAGACGTAGAAGAGTTCGTGCTTGAAACATACAGGCTTCCCTAGATTTTCTTGAGTCTTGTCCTGCTGCGACCTTTTTCAGACACACAGTCTGGTTTCCTGGTATGGCACCCAAACTGATTTGAGGGAACAGCATGACCCCGAGACGGATGTTCAAAGTCAGAAGCTGGCCTCTTGGGCCCTAGGACCCGTCCACTAAGAACAGTGGAATTCTGCGTCGCGCCTGGGATGAACCCCCCGATGTGAGAATTGCTGGCTGATTTCCCCCCCAATCCCGGCTGGGATTTACCCGCAGGACTGCCGTGAGCCAAACGAGGAGGACTTAGAATGGCTCTCTGAGTGTTTCACCTTGACCAGTCCTTTTGAACACCTCGCTTTGGGAGAGTTAAACATCACCTTATGTGTTTCCCTTCGGGGTGATGCTTTTGGGGGCAAACCACAGTTCTGACCGGACCTTCAAAGACTCCAAGCCCTTGTTAGAGAAAGCCCCAAAACGGGCTAAGGAAGCTGAAATCAAACCACTTCATATCCACCCCCTCCCAACACGCTGCCTGGTGTCTCAAAATAGGGGACCCTCAAAATGGGTGGCAATCCCTTTGGTTTCACTACAAGAGACACCTTTCACCTCAAACAAATGCGCGACTGAGACCTTTGTCCTGACCGGATTCCGAAGCCAGGTGATCGCAGACGGCTTGCAGGGTTTCACCTTGTACACCTTCACGGTGCGCTGCGGGGGCGTTGGGGGGCGTTTGGGAAGGGGCTTGCCCAATTGAATCCCGTGTTTTGCTTTTTGGTTGCTTGGGATTGTGTTGTTTCGGAGTCAAGGACATGGGTGGCCACTAGGCAGCGGGTTTGGAGGGACCGATGAGAAACAAGTAAAGCCGATCATTCAAATGGTCTACCCAAATCCATGTTTGCGGAAATCAAAACGCGGATAGTCGCAACTATTTGTGGCTGGGATTGCCCCTTACTAACCTTCATCTGCCCGAATCGGTTTTGAGCAAGTGGCTCAGATGTTTGGTCGTTCGGCAGCTTCAGGACTGCACGTTGGCAAAGCAAACGAGTGAGTGGCGGGTGGAGCCAAAATCGGCTCAGCCTTTGGAGGTAGGACATCGCCGGTGTTTCTTTTCCAGTGGCTGGTTTTGGATTTAGCAAAGGGAAGCCATTGGGGACTGTGATGACCAGAAGGACCTTGATGAGGCCCTGGCGCGATGTCTTGTTGCATTGACATTATATGGGTGCGTGTCTTTTTGAGGCTCGGGGCCCTTTTCAGGTTGGTTTAAACGGACACCGGAAGGAAGTTCACCATGTTTTGTGTCCCGCCAGTCTGACACCCACCCACAATACGTTAAGGGTTGACGGGAATGACGGGTAAAGGGTTGACGGTAATGACGGTCATTTTTGCGCATACCCCGTCAAGGCTCGTAAGCGGGGGGGGGGGGACTTTTTCCTTTCAAACCCTTGGTTTCGCCTTGGTCCGAGCGAGCTTGAGCTGTGTAGCGTTTCGGAACACGAGCCTTTCCACGACCAAATAGTATCATCATGTCAGATTAGCCTCTAGTCTAACCTCAACCCATTTGCACAATGACGAAACACTTCACAAACTCGCTTGCGGGTGGCAAGCTTTTGCAGGGGAACCTAGGAGCATGGAATGAGGGAACGAGAACCATCCCTTGCAGTTTTATTTCAGATCCCAAACGGTTCATTCCCCAACCCCGGGTTTATGTAGTGAGAAGCAGCAAGACTTTGACGGCTGCCTCTTAACCTGGCCAACCTGGCCGACCATCCAAGGTCCTTTGCGCAAGTGACATGGTTGTCGTTGGGAAACATTTTACATTTTTGCTTATTGTGGTTTAGTGGGAAATCCCCACTTAACTGCTAAAATTTAAATTTTTGCTCCCCTTCCAACGTCAACCAAGGTGATACTACCTGGATGCCACGTCAGGTAAGTGGTTATCCCCAGTTCGGAAGTCTCCTTGACCGCCCCTCACAAAATGGTGTCTTCTGAGCTGGGAATACCCACCACGCAAAACCGTGCCTGATCTGACCACCTGACTCGTCTCCGTTCGTTGGGGCTACTGGCCACTTCCCTGATGTGAGGTGGTCCAGGAGACCCTCCTGCCACTGTGGTAGGTATGGGCTCGGAATAGCGTGGGGCTGGGCGCTGGCAACGCCACGGAGCAGAGGACGCTCCAGGCGCGGACTGGGTTGGTAAGCTCAAGTCGGACTCAAGCCTTTTGAGGCTTGGTACTGTGCCCCAAAACGGAAGTGATGTTGTCTAGAGAAGGAAAACCGAACACCGATTTTTGGCGATTCGAATTGCTCAGACTTGTGGTACCATTTCTGTTGAGCTTTCTTTTTAAATCCTGGGTTCCCATCGGTCAAACGGGGGAACCGTAGAAGGGCCTGCTTTTTTTTGTTTTGTTGGGGGGGGGGAAAGGTTGGGGGGGGGTGAAGGAAAACCACAGAGAGCACAATTCTGGAGGGCCCCCCCAACAAGGAAAGACACACCCATGTGTGTTTTCCCACTCAGCAGCAAAAACATACACACCGCTCGGAGCCTTTTGCTCCAGGGTCGCCGTCTTCGTTCCCTGTCCAGATCATTTCGGGTGCCAAGACCGGAAGATCTTCGGAAGCTAGGTACCTTGGGTCTGGGTCAACCTTTGGGATCCGAAAAGTCATCGGCCTTGACGTTTTTGAGCATGGATTATAGGGACAATTCCTTTCTTTTTTTGGCGCTCGGTACCCCGTGATCGTGGCTTTTTTCCCAACAACGCCGCAAAGAACAACTTGACCCATTTTGGCGTCCGATTCTAGAAAACGACAAGCCACTCCCGCATGGTGAAAACTCTCTAGGTTTAGTGTGAATGGACCACATCCTAAATATTGGGGTAAAGGGAAACCACCGTATACTAAGCGTGCAGGATTTCGTCCATCCACAGTACTTGTGTGTTCGGCCAAGTTATTAAGTTGTTGGTATCCTACGCTATAACCCACGTTTACATATTCCGTTCCGTGGGTTTGGCCCTGTTATTGGTGGG